TGATACCAGGCAAAAAAGGTCGTGCGTTTTTTCAGGAGAGCCACGGAACACAAAGGAGACTGAGTGGCAATGAATCTTGGCCAAGAGCGAGTGCTCTGTACAGATTGTACCAACGAATCTCTCATACTCATTCCGATACCACTTCACGGTAGGAAACGTTGGCACCGACTGGAAGTCAGTAGTGATGTGGAACAGAAGCAGTAACCACTGCAAGTAACATCCAAAGTATAAATTGCGTGGCACGTCAGTACCGCAACGAGGGATTTCACCTACTCAACTCTCAACTCGAGGCAAGACGGCCCACTTTGAGGCGGAAGTTCGCCGGAAAGCTCTCTAGGCGCCATCATAATGGTTGAATTGTACTGGAAGACCGGTGATACTGACTCGGAACGGGAGGAGAGCCGACAAAATCCAAATATCTTCGCGCTGACAACTACTTACTAGCAGAGGGCGTTCGGGTTCAGACTCCATTTGGCGACAGCAATCCCTCTATTTTGGTGTTTAATTTGGTGACCAACGAACAGCTAATACTAAGTGCTTTTATCCTTGTCCCTTCAGCCGAAAGGTGAACCATATAGCGATGGTTCAGTGCATATCAACAACACCGCGGCGTTTCTTTTAGATCTAATTTAACAGGTCACCAGTGATGAGACCGTCTCTTAAGGGGTGGTGATAACCAGAGGGTGAAGTTCACGGCTAAAAGGAGGCATTGAGCTTCTCCATTAGGCCGCAAGGAGAATATGGCGCAAGTGAAAGCTTTAAAAAGGGTGTTCAAGGCATAGCGCATACAAGGCTCTTGTGAATGCATGTAGAATCAAGCCAAAGGGCGATAGTAAGTCGTCCCTGACAAACCTTGTTCAGAAACCTCAGGCAGACTCCTAGAGCCCATATTGACTCATGACTAAGGGAAAATCTACCTGCCGGAAAACAGGTGTTACTGAAGGTCTGAGTAGGGAGAAATTGCTCGAAATAAAAACTGCCTGAAATTCCGGCCCAACAATTGAGCGCAGCTATCCGTGCTATCACCTGACCCCACAGGCGAACAGCGTCGAACGAATGCCGAGCGCCGAAGATACACAGCTTGGGGGTTGTTTCTGTATAGATCTAAAAGTAGTGTCAAGACTCTGCACTGGAAAACCCCCAGGATCGAACTAACTTCGCCCACTGGGGCTTTAAAAATGTGAGTGCCCGTGTGGCTTTCTGAGCGATATTTTTCGGCACCTCTCAGGTAAACACAAGCTTCCTTGGAATTGTGAACGTGCCATCCTCTCTACCTTCAAGGGCAGAGATAAGCAGAATTGGAAGTGCTATCTACCTGAGGCACTTCTGCCGGCGGTTCCAGAAGTAATGGAAAATGTGATACACGATCCAGTGGCGGAACAGTTTAACAAAAATGGGGCACTGAGGGATGCTGGATACGGCTTACAAAGGGATAGATCCTGCGCCTCGGACATTTTGCCAGCTCGTGGCAACTATTGGTTTTCTGAAACCCTCAATCCCATTCTTACTTGGTTTTTCTGGATCTTGCCAAGGCTCTCGATACAGCCTCGTAATTCACCCCTTGCGGAAAATCGAACCGTCAGGTAGCAGCAGTCAGATGATACCGTGGTTGAGGTTTATTTGTGTGGTTGGGAAATCAGCGTCAGAGCTCACATGGAATACTTAGCCTGGAGTGATGGGAAGCGGGTCTCGGGTAAGTTCCTCGTGGTGAGAGGAGAAAATACTTCTTTGTGCCCCTAGTCAAAGTGGGCCGCAGATAACACATTGACAATCAGCAGGAACCTCATAACCAAAGAGCTGGCAGAAAGACTACTCCAGATTAAACTGCAGGTTTGGTTTAAGTCGCGTTTATCACGCAGGGAGTCAGACTTCCAGAACTATAACGAAACTCCCGACCACCGAAACATGAGACGCCATGGTGACAGGTTTGGCTATCAAAGAAGCCCTGCCAGGTGGCTACAGCGTAACCACAAAGACTTGTCTGGCTTCACGTCAAAAAGGAGGCCGGCCAGCAGAGGAACCAACCTTCTGAAAGATCTCTTTTGAGATGTACTAAGCATTCTGGAGATAGTTGAGCCACTTAGCCTAGGTTTCAGGAAGCAACTCAGTGATTCTGACACTAAATCTTCACCGGTGCGATAAAACAAGGATAAGACCATGGATAATGAATACTTTTGCCGTATACAAGTCACACAGAAGAAAACTATCTGCCTGTGTCCACTCAAGTTCCCTGGTAGCGTCGACTTGAGACCAATAATCCCAAACAGCTGTGCCAAGGCACTCACAAGACCAGTCTGAGACTTCTTCAAGCATTCGCTAGAACCTTACAAGATCTTAAAAGGATAGAAGCGAACGATCACGCTACCTATGTTCAATGGAGGAGGCAGGGAAGTTTCCGGCAGGTACTGACGGATTACCCTGCTATCTACACTGTCAGGAGTACCGGGAAGCTCGATGGCCGACGAGATCGATGGGTTCTTCAGCAGAGAAAACAGCGCCCTCGGTGCTCGGTATGACTTTCTACGAGGTCGTTCATGTGCCGCCAACTCGCCGACTGCCTGGCAACACCAGACATTTAGCTGGAACAACAGAAAATCAGGTGCGTTATTTTTCTTAACCTAGCTAGAGCGTCTGGAGGTGTTCTGCACGCAATGCCTATGAATAAGATTTTGTCAGTGAGCATGAGTGAGCCTCTGCTTTCGTGGTCTCAAGTGCACCTAGAAGGCGGATAGTTCTGAGCCGAAGTAAACAGATGCGGTCGGGGTTGAGATCATAGGTGTCAGGGGTGTCTCAGAGAGCAATTCTGAGACCACTTCTCCTCTTTCAGTTCGTCAGCGATCTGCCAAACAAAATCTCCCAGCCCACTCTCTTCTTCGGTGGTGACGTTAAGATTCCATGGGGCAAACTAAGACGCCAGCTGTTCAGCACCCCAGAATAACTTGCAGCTATTTGAGCTCTAGTCGTTGAAAAATGGCTTGAACTTCAGCCTGGAAGGGTGCAGAGCAATGTACGTAAGTATACACGGAGCAGAAGTGGCCAAATCCCAAAGCAAGTCAGGTAATTGTGTTATCACCAAAGTATCCACGGGAAAGGATTCGGGCCCCAACTTTTCCGAAACCCTGAGAACCAGTTGTAATTAAGAGACGGTGGCAACCAGAGCGAGTGACACTTCACACTTTCCGTGTGGACAGCTTAGTGATCCCACCCATGAAATGCTTCTCGCAGTTTTCAGATCCTACGGACACCTGTACCCGGAAGTCTTCAATGTGCAACACCTTCAGCACTCAGAAGAGACTTCAGTCTCCAAGGGAAAGTGCAAAGATCTGGAGCAAAGTCAATTTCGGTACTCAGGAGAGGACATACTCTGAAAGACTGAAAAGTCAAGGTCTATTCACCCTAGGCTATCACAGATAGTGGGGTGACCTAGTACTGGCTCACAGGAACACCCGTTGGGCAAGTCACAAAAACGAATTGACCCCGCCGCCAGTATGGAGGTCAGCACGAAGGAATCCTCTCAGGATAGCACATCAGAGAGCTAACGCTAGGCTCAGGTCCAACGTTTTCTCCTTGGGAATATGCGCGTCATAGAATTCCTTACCGTGAGATGTGGTCGCAACCCCCAAGGTATAGACATTCAAAAACCGTCAGATAGAGGCACCATTTCGTATGGTTCATCACGGACGTATTCAGGCCACTACTGACCTACCTACCCCCACACAACTGCCTTCCCGTTTGCTACTCACAATCTTTCTTGTTGGTACACCTACACAGCCTACTAACCCTCCTCTGTTAACTACACCACTACTATCCACTTCCACCTTCCGAGTATCTGTCATGAAACGGCCCTAATCTTCTCAGCGATGAGTAGCTTCCTAACCATCTGGGTTTGCAAATTATAACCACCAACCTACAAAGCATCTATCCTGCCAAAGCCAAAATCAGGAAAGCAGGAGAGACTGTCTACCCCACCGCAGGAACAAAAAAGCAACTAGAACCAGGCCCCCAGAACTAAACACAGGGGATCGAAACTGCGTTTCTACACTTGCGCTACTGATGTAAGATGTCAGAGACTCGTAAATCATATGTTGGATCTATACCAACTATGACAGGAACGCATTTCGTGGAGACTTGATGTTATTAACCCTTAGGTGAATCCCCTTTCAATCCCACTGTGGGTGTTTTCATCAAACGTTTACCAGCTTCTCACTGCCATACGTGGAGTTTGAGTCCGTCTTCCTCCTTCCTCCTCTGTAGAAAGACTTGTTAAACTAAGAACGCATCCAGAGGCCCTCTACCTAGTCTGTTTGAGGACTTAGGTAAACAACACACGAAGAACGGATGATCGCGTTGGATCCATATTCCCTCATCTGGATCCTTTAAATGCCGAGTGGATAATTATTTGAGATGTGGCTGGTATCCGTTTACAACAAAGTGAATCTTAACACTTCACTCTCTTCTTTATTCTCTCTTCATTCCTTTACCACTACCTTACTATTCTCTTCCAGGTACCTACACAGACAGGAGTCATGGCAGTTCTCTAAACTTCCCAGCAACCCGTAGCTCCCTAATCACTCTACAAATTACAACCTACTAACCCACAAACATCCACCTCACCGAAGCTAAAAGCAAGAAAGCAGAGGGGATTTCCTCGTCCACTGCAGGAGTGAACCGAACAACTGGAACCAAGCCCTAAGAACTAGATGCGAGAGATCAAAACTACCAGTTTTCTACGCTCGCACTATCAATATTGGATTGGATTGGAACCGCCACAATTTGCTCTTTGTTTACTTTTACATAGATCAATAATCCCAGGAAGTAGTAATCTATGGGTTGGAGGCTCGGAATCCAGTTAAGCAAAAGCTTCATTTACTCAATCAACAACCATTGTATTGTCTGAATAATTTGGACTTATTCGCGCTTTTTTCAATACTTTAGTTAGTTTTCACGCTTATTGGTTTGGTTTGCGTCCACTGGATATTCGTATCATTTCGTTTTGGTAAATGATGTGGGCCTCATATTGCAACTTGTCACAGAAAAATGCTGAGTTCTGCACTTCAGAAAAAGGTACAGCCGTAAGGCAACACCAGTGTTATTATAACTGTTGGCTTTTTCCTTTTTAATCTTGTTGGATATATTTATTGAGTACACTAAAATCATTTATTGTGTCGGACATATTTTAATGCGTAGCATTTTCGAGGGGTAAAAGTCGCTGTGAACCCTACTCAGATATATCAAAGATGTATTTCTGATTTAAATAAGAATAATTGTATATCTTAAGATATAAAAATTGAAAAAGTGGCCTTCTTGGGTATGTATAAACCTTGCCAGTTGTTCTGCCCTTCACGAATGTCTCGTTTGAAAACGAGTTTCATCTCTATATATGTGGCCGTTGCATAACCTCTTTACTACCTGCTCGAAATCCAGGTGTTAAAGGTACTTCTTGTGGTTTTTATGCTTGCATTTATCTGTTTGTCATGACTTTTTAAATATAAGCACATTCGGTAAAATAAAGTGCATAATTACATATTTTAATATCAATAGTGGTGTTACGAGCATCAGTTTGGTGGCAGCAGCAGTAGTCTCTAGAAACTGCCAGAGCTGGTTGCCATTTTCTAACTCATCGCCTTTATGGAGAAATCATTAGCAATGGAAGAGGCAAAACTTACATTTTGATGTGAAAAGTAGTTGGCTTCTGAGCGGACCTACACGACTGATCTTTTTTAACTTTGAGGGTGGTCGTTTCGCTCATATGAGGGCTTTGTATTTTTGGTTTTGCATCTCTCATTAGGTACAAGTCTGTACGCCCACTAAATTTGTTCTGATCATGGTCTGTTTCAAGCCTAAGCCTCAGCATCCCGAACATTTGCAGCGTAAGCTGAAGCACTTACGATCGCACTTAATATCGGGCTAAATATGTCCACAGGTATTTTGTGATTCAGTCATAATTTGAATATTTTGAGTCTTTAACATCTAGGCCGTTTTGTAAAGATTCCTTCTGATTCATGGCACTACAGTGTGCCATAGTTATGAATTTGGAAGTAGCTGTTTGTAATTGCTCGAAATTAGTGATGGTAAACTGTTTCTTCCTTATTCATTTTTAGTATGTAATGCAGTAAACCAACTTGTTCTTGATATCGGATGCAATAGTATTGTTTGGTTTATATCAAATTTTCGAAACCTGCTTATTTAACAAATTAGCCAAACTCATCCCCTTAGCTTTTGAATAACTTGTATGATGTACAAAATTGGATTGAGGAATATGTAGATAAATAGGTGTTATGAAGAAATGTGACACCTATCAAATCAGTATTTTAAAAGATCAATATTAGATCAGTTTCAAGACGTAGAAAAAATTAAGATCAAACAACCTTATCTATTGAAATTCTGTAATCAAGGAACCTTCATTTTCTTATGAAGCATGAAATGTTCCTTTTACTCATCCTACCTCTATCCATTAATACATAAGTAAAACTTGGGCACAGTGGTCGATTGTAATTCCATTTTAGTCTCTTTATTAGAAATATCTTACAGTGGAACAGTAGCATTTACTGGATAACGTTTTTGACACAATTTATTGTCGATATCCGTATCAGGTGATGTGAACGTGGACAACAAATTGTGTCCGAAACGTTATTCAGTAAATGCTACTGTTTCACTATTCGATATTTATAATAAAAGAACTGCCTCTGTCCACTTTGTTACTTACATTGTGCAGTAACCGTAGGCAAGTAAAATAACATTTTTACTTTGGTTTTATTATTGTAGTAATTACAGTGATGCCCCATGGCAAGATAATGCACTCTACTTGTTTAGGAATGCATACAAAGCCAGAATAACTTTGGAGTTTCGGCACATTTAAATTTGATTATATTCTCTCAGTTTCATTCTTTGAATGTAGGACCGCTAACTCCAAGGGCATTAATATTATATATATATATATATATATATATATATATATATATATATATATATGTCAGACACTTCTTAGATGTGCGTCATTAGTGATCTGTTTTCACTGAAAATTTCAAGAATAAAGTCTTCTGAAGTATTGTTTACCTTGGGAATGGCAAGATCAGATACTGAGTTATGTTTGTATCTGGCTTTTTATATGAACGTCATCATGTTTGGTTAGTTTGTGAGACATTTTGAAGATGGTTTTGGCATTACAATCTAAGCGTAAACATATGTCAGGCAACCTTTTCATACGTATTCAACATTAACAGTCATATACGTGAACTACAGGTATCCAGCAAGCCAAAAGGAACAAACATATTCTCTTTTCCGGGAATCATAAACAGTTATGAAGTACGAAAAATAAGGGATTTATCTACAGTTTGAAATAAATTTAGGTCAGAAATCCTTTATCAGGGCCTGCACCTGATAATATTATGGTGAAGAAAAAACCTCAGTCAAAATGTCCCCCCCAAAGTTGTTTCCAACTTAACGATGTTACAGGTCACTGACCATAAAGTTTTACTGTGGAGTGGGATAAACAAGAAGAATACTTTTGAAGTTGAAATGATGGGATGAGAGACACTGAAACGTTAATTACCAACGATCTGTTTTAAGAACTATTGACACAGTTCAGGTTAAAAATGCTAGTCTGTCGTATTACAGGAATTACTAACTACATTTATTAATGTTGCATAAAATGCAATCTAATCGGTGATAGAAAAACTGGTGGAGTCAGATACTTTGCTCAGCATCATGATAACTAAAAACTATTCACTACAGCAAAGTGACATGATTAATATAATTGTGTTTCACTTACTTCAATAAAATGTTTTAATCCTTGTTTGGGGATTTATTTAAAAATTTTATTAATTCGTAACATTATCTTAAAGTTCTTCAGTACGATGTTACTAACATTTCTACTGAAATCTAAGAAAAAAATCTTTATATCAGTGAAGCTGTAGTTACCTTATAAAATTATACTAAAACTTAAAGATGTCAAACGAAATTGCTTGGTGTCGATTTTAATAAGAGTAATAAATATTTTTTAGTTTCCAGCTCAATGCAGAATGTAAGGAGTACTTTGACTACAAAAGAAGCTACAAAAGGGATTGACGATGGCATGGTGAGTCCTAGTATCACACTGTAACTTACGGTTGTGCAAGTTAATTTTATTCTTATCGACTATGGTCCCATATTTTGTTGCGTATTTCGAGAGGTGCTACTATCAGATGTTGGGTGATTATTTTACAGTGGTATGAACTTGTAGGGGTGTGTTACAATTCCGTAACGTTCGATCAACCCTACTTAACTTGACGTGCTCTAGTACCTGCTTAACCAGTACTTTACCTAACGTGTAAGTACTGATAACAAAACACAAATCAAAAGAACTGATACGCAATATACTTGAAGGGCAGTGTATTTGATTAAAGTGAATGTAATAATAATGAATGGGGAAAAGTTTAATCAACTTATCTGGCTTGTAAGGCTGAACTAGGGACTCTGAGTGGGTGCGTGGTAAGCAGCACTATGGAGCGCAAAATGGTGTCGAAGCCTGCTCGGATGCATGCTCGTTAAAACAAAACTTAAAACACCCTAAGCATCCGGAGGCAAGCTAGAGATGTATTTAGTTAATTTAATTTAATCTATTTATTTTAGCCCTAGTTATATTTTGGTGCCAGGAAGGTGCACTACAAACTTATGTTGGTAACTAGATATTTTTAATGAACACACCCATTTACGAATATTGAATTCATTGATCTGACGGAGCTATAATGTCTTTCTACTTTAACGTTATGATGGTCCACTAGTGAATACAGCATTCATGGCGTCAAGCGTTAGTAAATTGTAAATAAATCAATAAATAATATATTAAGAATAACTAGTGCATACTTTATTGAAGAAATAAGTTTTGGTTTATTTATAAAGCGATATCTTTTCACATAGATATTTATTACTAACATTCCCACTCTTTCACAGAGCATCAAACATTTTTTCGTTTTGTCTAAGCTTCTCACCTTGTTCTCAAGTTTTAACTCACCAAAACTTAGCCTTCACTTAGGATTCTTGGGATAAAATTTTAGGTGCTATAAACAATGCTGTATAAATTTTGTTTCAGACTAGATTTGTTTTTAAGATAGCAAGAATTTAAAAGTCAATATATTCATCGTCTTTAGTGTTAAGTCAATGTAGGTTTTACAAATAACTACAGATGCTACTTATGATAGAGAGAATGACGCTAAAAATTCATTCATCACTTTCTTCTTGAGGGATTTATTTACAAAAGTTTAGCTTATTGAATGCTTCCATTTTTACCGATTTGTTTCCACCTTTTTGTACTTAGAAATTGAAATCGGTAAGTTGGCAGTCACCGTTCACATTAGGGTTTGATAGATTCCTTTTGTTTCAATGATACATCTACTTTTTTTGGGTCGGCCAGTGACTGTAGCTTTCAACATCGATTGATTTTTCATATTTCCTCTGTTCGATTTGTTATAACTTGTCCTGGATTATAAACCGTATACCTGAGCTTGCATTGTTTTTAATGATCAACTTAATTGGCCAGTTGTTCTTTGGTTAAGATTTGTTGCATCTTTTCACCTGTTAAGCGGAGTTAGTATGAATGTAGTTTTTCTTTTTAGACTAGGTGACGGTGGAAACCTGAGCTAGCCTACATATGTGTTTACTTCATGAACTAATTATCTAGTTGCCCTTCACATTTAGACATAATGATCTCACCAACTAATCTTGTGTATAGCATGTATCATAAAACATGTGTCATATTGCTGCGTTTCTCACCTGAATGGCTTTATGCTTAGCCGCCATGAATAAGGGATAAATAGGAACAGCATAGAATTTCCAAGAATATAACACATTTTTCACTGAAAATAGCTTCTAGCTTTACAAAATCGATACTTCTCACCTGTTGTTCTTGTCTCATACAATCAGTTAGCACTTACACTACCTCCCCATCCTACTGGTGGACTATTAGATTATAAAGATCATTTTATCAGTGCAACTTAAATACTATGAATAGTAGATTCTCGATCCTGAGCCTCATATACTGGTTACCAAGGCTTCTTGGTAATAATAGGTATTATCAGAGGGTACTCATCAAGCTGTCACTGACCAATGATGTGATGATAAGGACCTAGAATACTGTTTCCGTATTTTCGTTAGCATAGTACGTGCATGTTAAGCACAATAGCGAACCTAGCTAGTATCATGTGCCTATTTAGAGGGTTGTAAAGGTATCTGGCTATTTTTTTACGATTGACTGCCATGTATAAAATGTTGTAAGCAAAGATTCAGTTTTAAAAAGTACGTAGTAATCATGTTAGATGTACATAGGATACCTTCCACTCAGAGAATATCAATTTCATCATAGTTACAGATACGTGTTGCTGATGACTGCTAGCAAGCACGAAACCTGACTTCAAGGCTTCCTACCGATTGACTCCCAGTATTTAACACCAAAATAAAGTGCAGGGAGTGTCGCACCTTTTCGCTTAGTAGCCACTTTGCACAAACTTGACCGATATGCTTCAGTTGGGATTAGACAATGACATCGGTTTTACCCAATTTGTGTAACTTTTATCTCATTTTGTTCACAAAAGGTTTGCTTACATTAAAATAAATCTGTCCAAAGTAAAAAAACAGACCGTTTTAATTTTACCTAATGTGTTGTTTATTTTCCTTTTGAACACTTTTTAAGGTTAGCTTTTTAGGTTCTCCAGTCATTGATCAGTCACTTGTTGACCTAGCTTTAAAAAATACAGAATGTTTATCTGTCTCTCGAGTTCTTGTACTATACACTGGTGGCACAATTGGAATGAAACGTGTGAATGGTTCGTATTGTTCAGTGACAAATTATTTTCTGCCCACCCTGACGAAAATGCCTACATTTTGTGATCCAGAGTAAGATGTTTATCTTTCTGAAAGTGGAACTTATTTGAACAGAGTTTTCATTATAATATTACAAGCTTTTATTGACCAGTGAAAATCAAAGTTTATTAACAAATGTTTTGTATTCATTTAACATTCTTCAACAATACAATCCTTTAAACTCGTCAACGAAATGAAAGCGTTAGGTGTTTTGGACTACCAGTTATAAGAGCAAAAATGATCGGCTTACATGAAACAAACTTATTATTATTTGGATATCTTCAAAAAGATTGGATAGTTTTGATATCAGTGGTGGATAGCAGCTAGCAGTGGAATGCAAGACGCGCGTTTCGCCCTATTTCGGACTCGTCAAAATAGATCTTGAGCATAGGAAGTGTTTAGCAGTAAAGAATATTTTCTACTCATAATTGTATAGGATTTCTTTGTGTATTTATTGATAGAATTATGCCTTTTCAAGTTATGCAGTAGGTGGAGAGTTGTATATTCTAGGTGATAAAGGTTTTGATTAGCACTTCGGATATATATATATATATATGTACTGTGTGATGATTGAAGGTGAAATGAAAACCTGAACCGCTGCCAGATTCGAAACAGCCACCACTGGGTTACCAGCCCGTGCTCTGTCAACTGAGCTACGATATCCGACTGTTGACCAGAATTTTATTTCACTTCAATCACCGAGAGTTTTACTCGACTACCATGTGAATCCGTGACGCTTTACTACCTCTTGATCGTATTCACACTGGCTGCTAGTCAGGACTTCTCATCCCAATCCAAATCTAACTGAATCAGAGAGGGGGAGCATCATATTGATTGTGATTTGACCATCTAAGATAGCTGTAGTTTGGCAGACTAGTATTTGTAATGGGTGGTGATTGAAGGTGAGATGAAAATCTGGACCTTCAGCATCATCATCAAAAGATACTGGATACTACACTATTTATTTTTCTTCTCGTAGTTTATAACTGCTTATTTTTATAGTTTAATTATTAAGCTATATACTTGTTTATTATCATTATCTTATAGGTTTAAAATCTATATAGAACAATTTAACACTGAACTCTTTCAGCGTAAATTATCAAAAACTGAAGTGCCAACAAGTTCACACCATCATCATTCAAAGAATTCAAGACGTCAGTGTAGTCTAACGAAATCTGATCATATAGAGACTTATGCATTACCAATTGATAAGACAGGACATCGTATTCTGTATACAATTGTAGAATATTGGCCTTTACTAGATTCATCTGATTTAAGTATGAATGAATGGAAGCGGATAGCACAAGATATTTTTGCTTTTTATTATCACTTCGATGGATTTATTGTATTACATGGAACGGATACTCTTGCCTATACAGCATCAGCTTTATCATTTATGTTAGAGAATTTGGGAAAACCAGTTGTATTGACTGGAGCACAACTGCCTGTGTTTGAATTTCGTAGTGATGGATGGAATAATTTTCTTGGTGCATTATTAATTGCTGGTGGAAAGTATGCAATTAGTGAAGTAACAGTATTTTTCCATGATAAAGTAAGAATAATATGAATTATTATTGTTTAATTAGTCTAGTAGAACAAATTTCTTAACAATGTTATCGTGTCGGTTACTAAGAGTGCTGCATATTTGATTTGACTGATGTTTCACTTGTGATTTAGAATCATCTACCAATCCAGTGGGTTACTCATTTAAGCTAACCAACTAGTGTGCTCTGAGTATTGTGTCACTAGATCGTGTTAATTAATTTACTGAATTTGTCTACAATGATATCCTGTTGCTATTGATGTGTAAAAGTTATTTGCTACTTAACAGGTACATAAGCGATCACATTATTTGAAATTTTAAGGCATATTATGTTCTGTTTAATTCAGAAGTTGATACTTCTTGAACGAAATGGAAGTGTAGATTCACATAGTAAAGTTAATGGATCAAATATACAATCAGTTGTCAGTTATTAGTTAAAAAGTTTATTTTTCAGTCATTTCAACTGAAGCTTACCAGTTGGATTGTGCAAGAGTCTTTAGACCAGTTCATTAAAAGTATTTGAAATAATATGACGCATAAATCGGTGCTCTTTAATACTTACTGGAAGGCTCCAGTCTTGTATTGTTATCGATTTGAACATTTTTAAACGGTCACTTTCACACAATTTTTATAGCATGACTAGTAGTTTACTTTATGCCCCTATTTGTAATGTAATTTGCCGATTCGTTAATCCTTACTCTTACTGCGTTAATGCCTCAATTTGCGAACAAGATCATATTTCATGTGTATACATTCTAGTCAACATTTTTATGGGGCAAAACACGTGAGCATGTTGCAAATTACAATAGAAACACGGTGCAAAACACGGGATTGTACAACATTTCCCCTAGTTCTTAACCCTTATGTTCTGCCCCATGTTTCCCCACGAAAATGTTGACTGGGCATACTCACGTGTTTTTGAATTAATTATTATTCTCTGAGGAATAAACTCTCCCATCCAGCTTTGGTCTTCTTCTCTGTCCATCCCGGGTTGCAGTCGGTGGTTCTTGCATACGAAGCCAGCTGTCAGTTAAGCGTGCGTATTATATCCGTTTGGAATATATAAAAATACTATTTCAGATAAAATGATGTATCTCTTTGAAGATGTAAGCATCATAATTTAACATAAGTTTTTCTGTTATAAATTTCGCCAGTATGAAGTAAAACATGCAGATCACGCTGGTTGTATTTTGTGAAATTTCAGGTGTGACTTCCATTTGCCATAAATAAGAATACATACGTACTTCTTTTCTGTGTTATATGTAGAATCTATTTTAAGGATGACCGCTACGTCAATTTCACTTATTTCCACCAAATATTGGTCATATACGTACAGTGCAGTTCTATCTCACTGAGTTTATGTTGGAAGTAAGCTTAGGGTAACCGAACCAATGTGTGTAAATAACGCATAATTTCGCTGATTATCAACCTAAGCAGTCTAGGAAAGTAAAAGCTTTCTGACTGGGACAATGTAACTATCTTACTGTTCACTCTCAAACCTCGTAGACGAAAAATATCTCAGTCAATGATTTGTGTTGTTTCTCACCGTCACACTTACTTTAATTTGAATTAACAGTTCATCATTGTGAGTAATTTTCTCCTACCTCCACTCTTTTCAGTCACTAGATAGTCAGTCACTATCTCAAGGCTCTGTTCTAGTTCAGAGAGATTGAAATATTCTTAAACTATGTGGGTTATTTGAAATAACTGCCTTGAATATTGTTACCTTGTTGCAAAACAGTCATGTAGTTCCAAGTAGAACAGTAGAAACTTTTATTATTGATGTATATCTTATCTCAGAGACCCATGTTCAAGAAATAAATGTGGTACTGTGAATAAATTCGGTGGCTCAACAACTATACCATAATTCTGTGACATTGTTAACTTCAATATCTAATTAGTCATTAGAACTGAAGCTGCACTATTTGAATGAATTCCTGGAAGTTATTGAGTTAATGAGGTGATTTTTTTAATTTATGCATGACAGATAGGAATAACCTTGTCGAAAGATAAACAAAATTCCATTGTTTGGGCTTACCATTCCACAATAACATATGGTGATCCAGTCAGTAGACGTAGAAGGATGTTAGAATAAATTAAAAACTACGTGTGATTTTGTTGAATGCAGTTAAATTGAATTCCATAACCAGCTAAGTAGCCTCATGGAATCTTGAAAGATTTATTTCTTGTTGCTATGATCTTAAATGTGCAAACTGAATTTCTAGGCATTGAGTACAGTCATTTAGGTGGCCAGTATTCACCATATAGTCTTAGGTAGAACAAACAGGATAATCTTCTGTAATTTTATGCAAATCAAAACTCATTATTAGCCAGGATCTAATTCCAGCATATCCATCACCTTTGGTCATCATCTGGTTTTCTAATTCGACCACAGAAGTTTAAAGCCAAACACTTTATGCTGAAATCATTTACTGAAAGCGACAGTGTGTAGAGAATCCTTGCTTATTCTAGAGTACCTTCCTTGATACTTGATTGTCCCCTGGTTTTCAACTAGATCGCCGTACATTTTAGCAGCTAACAGTACAGTCTTTCTAAGTTTCCTTTAGTTAGTGTTACAAAAGAATGTCAGACTGATTTGCATTCAATGAGAGTTGAACATCTATAGGAAGATTTATTTAACCAATGGCTTTACTTGCAAGTAACTGTTCATTTCTCTTACTAAAAGCATATATTAAACCTCATCATCTTTATTGACTTTTATCTTGTATCTATACTTCCTCGCAGAAGATTTAGAAAAATCTTGATAATCACTTCACACTAATAATATAAAAGCTTCAAGTGAATCTGGTAGTCACCAGAAACTGTCCTACCTCACTCATATCATCAGCTGCAAGAAGTTTAGTGTGTTAAGTAATTTATCAGTTAGATAGAATGCTAACCAACAATCCTTAAAAATAGTCGAAACATCTGGCATAGCACTTCAAATAAGATTCTACTATCTGCTATACAAATGCTTAAAATCTCACTTTAACCTGACTATGAAGAAGTTCAGAGGAAAAGGTATGTACTGCATCAACGTTATACGCAATGATAAGAAAATAGTCATCTCCTTCTTTCCGGTTACATTGGTGAGGTTATGGGGAACAAACTAACTGAATTGTTTTAAGAGGTATCACAGATCGATGATATTCCATCACTCTAAAACACAACAGTGGTAATTTCCAAATTAGGAAACGTGTCGGATTAAAAAATATTGGTATGAGAACCTATTACCATTTGCATCTAAGACAGTAATTGCTACTAATTGGATTTTTCTCAAACTATATTATGGGTGAAGTAAGCATAGTCAAACCCCCGACAAGATGTGTTTAACACTGTTATATATGTTGTAAACAAGGGACCGTTGTTTATTTATATCCTATTTGACTTTCATTTACTGAACAGAATTGTAACCTAGAATAAGTTTTTGTTTGAGAATCTCATTTAAATTTTGAAAAGTTTGCAAAGTAAAGGTATATAAATGCACCTTCCCTTGTTTCAACCAACAGAAGTATTTCTATAGATGGCTCAACTTTACCATTCTCCTTTAAATTTATCATGGATAAAATTATTTAGGGATCTTTACAGTGAATGGATGGTAGAGTTTTATGGATGTGTTATTCACTATGCAAACAATATTGCTTTCATGTATGTTAGTATGCATACCTTTCAAAATCTTAATTCATTAGTTGACGGTTAGTATCTGTAAATATGTTGGTTATTTTGCATTACAAATCATCAGAAATTTCTAGTATCTAGGTGACTGGCAGTCCTGATACGCGTATATCAGAGTGTATCAACAGGAGAATAACAAAAGTATTTTTTAGCACACATCAATCTGGCCCACATTTACTCCCATCATGCTGTTTATCTACTTGAGAAAGTTCTAGTGTATAATATTTCTGTTCAAAAAAGTTTTCTCTATACTTCTTCTTGACTATTTTATACCTTCTTAACAATTTTACATTATTTTTCCTTCTGAATCCCCTAGTGTGCATATTGATGGCTCAGATGATTAGATAATCTTACAGTTGTAGAAACCAATCAGTTAAGTACTGTGACTATTAAAGTTCATATTATATAAACCTTATGGTAGTATGAAACATATCATTTAATTCTTTTATGTGAAACAGTAGATCATTACTCTAGACATTCTTTTTAATTATCAAACTTTAGGCTACTAATCTGATGTCACTTCTGTATAGTTTGGCTTAGTAAAATGGCGGTATGACTAGCATTCAATAAAGTAAAATTATAAAGCATTACTAAATTAGACCTCTATTTGTAATGTAAAAGTGTATTACTCCGTTAGGGATGTAAGGTCATTGACGATTAATGAGTTAGTCAGCTGTTACACTGAATGGTTACATCGTAATCGCTGGTGGAATGCTATTTGATATATTCAGTCTAATCGCCAAAGTGAATCTGTGAACTGAAAGTCTGTATAAAGTCTTAACGTCTATCATCATCTGGCACACAATTCACATAATACGTTATTTATTCATCTAGTTAATAATAATAATAATAATAATAATAATAATAATAATAATAATGATAACTGCTTTATTGCAAACAGTCTATTTGCTACAGTATGGGATTCTCAGCATGTAACATCTCAGAAAACTCACTCCCAGTACATTTTTTAAACGAAGTGATTATTGCGTCTGGATGGTACTAATAATAACATGATTAAAGGCAATAATGGGAAACAGCTAACTAGTTTTAGATTAGAGTCTGATCTAATCTGCAAAATGAACAGAAAAGTAAGCCTAAGTTTGTTAGAGGTAATTCATGTATATAGCTTAAAAATCTACGATTCGAGTTAAGTATCGAAGGAATAAAAATATTATGTATTTTATGCATTTGAAAGTCTATTTCCACCTATCATCTTGACACTTTTTATAAGTTTAAAGTAATTAAAACTCTTCAGTGTTTCATATTTTATCTTTTAACAAAACAAAATAATTTACATGTTCTCCATCTTTATTTTATTGATTATCATTCCATTGTTTTTAGTTATTTCGTGGTTCTAGAGTGGTAAAATGTTCAAGCAATAATTTTGATGCATTTGAATCACCAAACTATCCAGCAATCGCTGAACTTGGCACTGAAGTTGTAGTAAATTATGATTTAATTTTTCGGACACATGAAAAACCTAAACCATTTAATGTTCATACAAATCTATGTCAAGATGTTGCAGTCCTTAACCTGTTTCCATTAATATCTAAAGAACATATCATTTCAATGTTAGCGCCACCAATTAAAGGTAAATTTATTGTATTTAAAATAAATTTTTTTTTCACTAGCGACTTTATATTGTTTTTTATTATCTTGTATATCCTCAACAATATACATTATGTACACAGTTGAAAATGTATGCATTGAATGAAGAAACTTTCTTAGAGCATAAAAACAATTCTTACTGAAACTGGAGTCAATGGAAATAAATAATCAAGTGAGATTTCTGGGATTGAGACAGTTTAAACCAGGCGAAAATAGTAGTTTTGTGCTTTTTGCTGTTTGTCTATTACTTATCATTAACTCATATATGAATCACTTTTAGACTCTATGCTTATGACTAGAAGCCTGTGTTACTGACTTTTTTCTTCAGTTTTTCACACAGAACATGGCTTCATATTTGAACAGTTTTTAATATTACAATGCTATTTATGATGTTCTATATCAGATAGGTTATTCATAATATTGAAACGTTCTATAGTTGTTTTTCTGAAAACTGAAATGCATGTGATTACAAACTGTGGAAATCAATCTTACACAAAATAATTTATTACTATTTATTTATTATTTGTCCTTTAGGTTCCTAGTAGAACATAGGGCTTCAGTAGCACGTCGTCATTTCACTCTGTTCTCCACACTCTTTTTAACCTGTCTCCACGATTTCCATAAGCTTGCATTTTTATCCCACATGACCTCCTCCATATTAACCTCGGACGCCCAACTCGTCCTTTCCCTTTTGGCTTCCACTCGAGGGCTTGGTACGTGATGTCCCCGAATGTTCTTCTCAGTGTATGTCCAATCCAGTCCAATCTATCTCCACTTTCTTCTTCTAGACACTTTTTGGGCGATAGGTTCTTGGTTGGTTCGTTGCCAGCTAGCCAGCCAGAGTTCCTTGTTGCTGATTCTTATTATTCTGGCTATCTCATCTTCAGTGTCAGTATCGAGCGAGCCTAGATAGCAGCTGTTAATATATGGCTGCAGTCTGTTGGAAATACTTTTCGTGACTTACCAAGTTTCTGAACCATATGGAAGCACTGACTTGACTGACATTACTGTTAAAAATCCCGATCTTGTTCACGCTTTATGCTTAGTGCAGTGCAGTAGATCTCCACAGTGATCTCAGATTAATGAAAGCCTGTCTTGTTGTCTTTCCGACCCTGGTTTTGACATTGTCATCTGTGCCTGTGCCACCACCTGTAGTTGAAAAGATGCTGCCTAGGTAGGCGAAAGAGACAACTTCGTTTAGATTTTTCCTGTTGATGGAGAATGGTGCTTGTTGTTGTTGGTTCGGTACCTTCTTCATCTCTATCTTCTCTACGTTCGCCTGAAGGAAGTCCTATTTTCTCTGCCTTGTCTCTTCTACCAACGGATTGGTTTTCGCTTGTAGATCTTCTAGTTTGTGCGACATTAGACATAAATCATGATCGACGAAATCCAAATCTTCTAGGGTCTTTTCATCGGTCAGACAGCGTAGGCCCATCTTCTCGCTCCTCACAGTTGTCTGTTTTATTATCCAGTCAAGTCCAGTGGTCCACAATCAGGAAGATCATGGGTGATGGTAGGCAACCTTATCTTACTCCTATCTTCAGTTCAAAGGTGTCACTGGGTTTTCCGTTATGAATTATTTGGCATGTAGTTTCATATAGCATATAGCTGCTGTTCAGTGAGTTTGATAAAGGTTTGTGGCGCCAAAATCGTAGTGTTGAGGCAGCTGCTAAATAACTTCTCTGTCGACGCTATTGAAAGTCGTTTCAAAGTCGATGAAGTTGAGGTAAAGAACCAATTGACTGCAATTTTATGCCCTGTTCTATGATGACGCGTAGCGTAACGTTGCAATTTGATCCACACATGATTTGTACTTCCTGAAACCAGCCAGCTTGTTTCGGTCGTAATTTTGAATCGAGAACAATTTTTAGTCTCTCCAGGATGATTTGGCTTAATATTTTGCATGGGTTGGACAGGAGCATGATTCTGTACCAGCTTACACAAAATACTAGGACTAATATTGTAACAGCATGGAAAGTACGTTTTATTAAATGAGAAAATAGTCATACCTGGTATCGTTCGAAGCCCCATCATTTTTAATAGTACTCTCATGATGATAAAAAAATGTATTGTAATCAATTTAAATACATCTTTGGAGTCATATTCCGTTAGGCAACGTCAATTATGAAGGTTAAGCGGCAGGAAACACTTGGTCATTCATTAGAATAATTTATGTAATGAGACATATGAAGGATGAGACACATAAAAGAAATGCTATGTTCCAATGTGTTACTATGTGCATGATATATATATACGGCAGTCAAAACAAGATGTAGTACCACTCGATGAAGTCTCTTACTTCTAGTCTGAGCCGTGTATGAAGGTGTAGACTGTTTGATCAAGGTCCTCGAAGTGGTAATCATCGATGTTTGGCGATTCTTGATGATACGGCTGGGAATCAGTCACAATGGCGTAAATGTACTCACTTTTCGACGTCATCTAAACCTTTAATATTTCGACTGACCTTTATTTTTTAAGGTTCTGTCCCACCTCCCGTCACACTTTTGCTTTATTCAATACCACTATTTTTGTCTGCTTCTTCTATACGCGTTGCTGTGGTGTATGGCAACTTGAACCCATACACTTCTGTCTAAGGTCCTACGTTGATTTTATCTGTTTGTTAGTCAGAAACTGATTACTTTAGTTGTATACTCCGGTTCTTTACTTTAGAAAACAATTCAAAAATTGTAAACCTATATCTGTCCTTTGATCATGGAATAAAAATCTCCACAAAGCAGAGTATGATAAGGATAAAATATATTTGTCGACACTAACAGACCCTAGAAATACAGTCAGTTAAAAGTATGAGTTTTGATTTCTATTAACTATTCTTTGCCATATTGTCTTGCGCCATAAAAAAAGAAGTACAAATCACTGTGATGATCTTAACTGATATGAAATATACAAGCAATTGTATCACATCATGTGAGCTACATTGGTAATGTAAATTATTCGGATTGACTAAGTTTGTAACATTGTACAAAGTTTATTCAATACGATGGTGAAATCAGTAAGAAAAGTTGCAAACAAATCTACTAGCTGTGTGTAAATATGAAAATATTTACCGATTCACTCAACAAAACTATGAGTTCAGTTTATCAACCCATAAAATAACACACTGGAAGGGATTCAATAATCTGCGTTGAATACTTAACTTATGCACAGAAAGATCAAAATTAGGATATGTGGGACTGACTATAATGATTATACAACTGACTTTTATAACAAGACTGAAGGTAAATGCACCTAAACCTTTGACACTGATCTTAGACTATTTCAATCAACTAATATTAAGAACGACTGAACTTCATCAATGGTATTTGCATAAATGTATACCTGTTTGCTGTACACGTTATAAATATCCGTGTACAACCAGCTAATTCACTTATTTGTGAAGCCATAACGCAGTGATGTCGATGTCTAGTATGACATTGAAACGTTTGTCAATTAAAACCCTCGATCGGAGAATAAATAATCTACTTTGAATATCCACACCCTGATCTGTAAATATTTGCCACAGTTTCTACTGTTGGTGTCATATTCAACGATACTTCGATCTATGTACGCAGGATAGCCATTATATTGTTCTATACACATTTCTGTAAATACATTACATCCTATTTCTACTTAATGTAATGGAAGCACCAGTATTTATTGTCACTGCTTTTCTCTACTAAATAATCAACAATTTCAGTTAAGATTGCGTAGATGCATGAATTTCAACTGAAGGGTATTTTTATGTACTCCACTATTGTCACTTTTTCTATTCCACTGAATCAACATTTATTTTCGTTGGGTAGTATTTGAATATATAAACTACCAGCAATGTTATCAATAGGATACTCAATTATTCAGAGTTCAATAAGTTTATTCGGTGAGTAGTTATTTCTGTAACCGGTAAATATTCATTTTAACTGAAACTATGCAAAGACTATGTGTACTTAGTCAATGAGTTCAATTATAATCTACTGTCACAATTATATAATGATATGCAATGTTGATTGTTGTTGGAAAAGTCAATATCTCATTGACTTCATACTAAACAAAGCAAAATAAATTGAAGTATATATATATATATATATATATATATATATATATATATATATATTCATTTTAAATGTCATTACTCCAATTATAGGAGTTGTTCTACGAACTTACGGAGCTGGTAATGTCCCAAGTTCACGTAAAGATCTATTAGATGCATTGAAAGAAGCTTCTGAACGTGGTGTACTTATGGTCAATGTTACACAGTGTTGGCGAGGTGGTGTAAAAGCAATTTACTCAACTGGAATGGTTCTAAATGAGTATGGTGTAACTCCAGGATATGTAAGTTTGTCTGTAATCATTATGAAATTGAGTTACACCTATACGATAGATACTTTAGACTTTTTTCAATAAAAGCAATATAGTACGTTCATAATTCCCATTGTGACATCAAAGACAAGATATTCAGCGAAGAGGACTCTTTTCAAGGAATTTATTCTCAAGCTGTACATTCTTATATATATATATATATATATATATATATATATATATATATATATATATATATGATATTTAAAGACTGTAATCTATGAGGAAGATTTAACTTAAATAATGGCGTTTATACTGGGTGATGATTGAAGGTGAGATGAAAATCTGGACCGTGGCCGGATTCAAAGCAGTGACTACCGGGTGGGTTAAAATAATAATAATAATAATGGTTATAACTACAATAATATTGTTGGTTGATAGTGTAAAGGTCGAATGATAACAAAAAAGGGTTACGTAAGATTTTCAAACCGTTTATAAGGTGCATATAGATTATAAAGGGGGTGAAAACGTGTCTTTTACATTAACGGAGAACAATTTAAGACTTGTAAAAACTAAGTGAAGTTTGACTGTGAAAAATGTCCTATAAAAGACAATATCCCTTGACAGGCCACATCCATGTGTAGCTACCAGTCCACCAGCTCCTGTGGAGCAACGTACATCAGCCCTGGTTTTATAAGGGTAAAAAAAATGCATTAGAAGTTCTATTCTTGAACATTTAATACATTCCAACCATTCAACCAAACCAAACAATGATTTAAGGTTGTTTATCGAATTCACTCAAATATCTCACGTTTCCTTCATCTTCAACTTCTAAAAATAGCAGAAACCTTGGCTATCCATGAACTGAAGCCTGATCTTTATGTGTAAAAGAAGTACGTACAGTCTTTGTCTCTACCTTCGCCTTAACTTATTTTGATCTTAGTGTGCTTCGTTCCTTTTTCGTTTTTCAACTCCTTTTTTTGTCAGATTAATCTTTGTACTCTTATATCGTAATTATCATTTTATTTTTATATTTAATTGTTTCCGGTGTTATTTCATTTGATCATCTTAATGATTGCAACTTTTAACCAAACATTTTCAGTTTATTCCAATTAACCTGTTGTCTCACTCATATTACCTAATCATTTGATTGTTTATTAACTAAACCACGTTATCACCCTCTTTTTAATCTATATGCACCTTATAAACGATTTGAGAATCTTACGTAACCCTTTTTTGTTATCATTCAACCTTTACCGTTATCAACTAGCAACAGTATTGTAATTGCAACCACCATTCTTGTTATTTCAACCCACTACTATTTAAGTTAAATCTTCCTCATAGATTACAATCTTTAAATAGCGTATATACATATGAATAAATTCTTTGGAAATAGTCCTCTTCGTTGAATATCCCGTTTTTGAAAGCAATACAATACAAATTAAATTGTTCATTATTGTCTTAAAACACTAGCTACAGATTACATTTATATCAGACAAGTTACTCTGTTTGAGAGAAATTATAATACAAGTAGTCAGTGGTCTGTCTTTTTCCTGTAACTAGACTAAATGAAGCTATTGTAACAAGTTTTCACGACCGTAAATTAACCAGCTCACTTACCTGAATAATTACAAAATCTAGGATGGTGTCTGTTACTAGGCCATACATACAAGAGCATTTATATCAGACAAAAAAATGTGTAATTCAGTGTGTAACTGTATTTATAACGTAGTTCCGGTGTCATCAATTTATTGCTATGGCACTCAACTGCTGATCACTTTCATTTCAATCACAATGAAGTAAGTTTTATATTGCAGTGAAATTGGATACTTGATTTCCATTTAGATATTATAGAGTAACTGGTTGCCAACAATAAAGTAACTAGCTGAAATTCACTCATTAAAACCTAGTAACCACTCACATATTTGAACAAAGCATAGATGTGTGTGTCCTACAAATCTCATAATTGGAGTATTAAAGGGTATCAAGTATAATATTATCGACTTAATTTGAAACCTTGTGTGTTAAATATTCAGATGATTGGGGATGATTCGCATTAATCGAGTGGTAATCTATGATTTTTCTTGGAAAACAAAATGAGGAGAAAGAAAGACTCATTTAGAGGAGACAGGTGAATTTGGCTTTTTTCCTTTTAGCTAAAAGCTTATCTGTATCCTCCTTTTTAGGATTTTCATACACTTTCCGAATAAGTTTTAAGTGTAGAAGTCAAAGACGTAACTAAAGAAAATAATAGAATAATTTGTTCTCCATAAAATGCAGTTACAAAATGATTTATAGAACTCTACCATCAGTTAGAACTAGACGACGTGTACCTAGTCGTATTCTGTAAAACGTCAATGCACCTGAATAGGTCAACGGTAAAGACATTGACTGCAACACTGGATGACGAGGATTCTCAACTCTCAGAAGACGCCAGTTCCTTCGAGGTTGTAGATGCACCTTATTGACGAGTGCCAGCAAATACGAAAGCCAGCTCGCATGGCTCCTTCTCGATCACCTCTGACCAATTAAAATCCGTCAAAATTACACCATGATGCTTGATGATGGTCACATTGCAAAGTGATCGGTAAATTTTGATGAGTGCTCAGGACCAGATAACTTTAAATCCGTTACCCTTCAGTAGGTGATCAATGTTTTTCATGGTACATCAGTAAAGTATTGCAATATAAGGATGAAGAAATTTTAGCACGGGTGATTATCATCAAGGTCATATTACAGAATATTCTGTTTCAACGAATACATTGCTGAATATTGTCCAGTAAAATCATTTGTTACTATCTAGGGACGATTAAGGAGCGGTTTAAAGGTTTAATTTTCATATATAAATCAAAACCTCACAAGTTAAATGGAAAAATAAAATTTCAGCCCATTCGACTTGTTATTACGTAGGAGAATCAATGTTAAAACTTCTCTGGGTAGTCTTTTTATCATGCTAAATGGAATGAATATTAATAAAAATAAAAACTGACTAGTAAACGACCCTAAAAAACCTAGGTTGATAATTTTTCATAAGAAGCAAACTGAATCCGGTGAATTTGCTCGATTCTTCTCACTTCTAGGCTGATATATTTGGATATATATATATATATATATATATATATATATATATATATATATATATATATATATATATATAATATGAAGAGCATATGAAAAAGAGGATATAGACAAGCTTTTAGCTAAAAGGAAAAAAGCCAAATTCACCTGTCTCCTCCAAATGAGTCTTTCTTTCTCCTCATTTTGTTTTCCAAGAAAAATCATAGATTACCACTCGATTAATGCGAATCATCCCCAATCATCTGAATATTTAACACACAAGGTTTCAAATTAAGTCGATAATATTATACTTGATACCCTTTAATACGCCAATTATGAGATTTGTAGGACACATACATCTATGCTTTGTTCAAATATGTGAGTGGTTACTAGGTTTTAATGAGTGAATTTCAGCTAGTTACTTTATTGTTGGCAACCAGTTACTCTTTATAATATCTAAATGGAAACCAAGTATCCAATTTTGCTGGAATTCACTAAGTACTCTCACAGAAACCAAGAGTTTTCATCTGTTTTATTATTATCATCACCATTATTATCACTTATAAGTTTCTCCAAATCACTTCAACCCTATGCATCAAAATATATTTAGCTTTAGGTAGGCTAGTTAACACAGGGGTTAATTAGATGGTTGGTGTTGAAGATTTTTTTTTTCAAGTAACGTGATCCATCCAGGCTAGCTGGATGAGTTTACAAAGCGTTTCAGGTAACCACCTATCCTCTAACATAGCTAACAAATAGTCTAACTCATTAAGAAACTGAGTATTATTTACTTCATAGCAATTCATGTGAATAATTGATTTATATACATGTGTCTCATACCTCCCTATCATTATTTTTGATTATGAAATATTAAAAATTTGTTAAACATTTGGTTTATTTTTACATCTGAAGCCAATCAATGTAAACTTCAGATTGAATTCTGAACCTCTGTCATGTATGTTTGTGAAGAGCAAGATATTCAGCAAAGAGACTCTTTTCAACGAATTTATTTTCAAGCTGTACAATTGTATATATATATATGATATTTGAAAAATTATATCCCGTGAGGAAAACTAGACACTATATGATGATGTCAATAATAATAGAGCAGATGATAACACAAGCACTTGTGATTATGATAAAAATTGAAGTGTGAATGATAACAGAGTAGACTTCGTAATATATGGAATGGTTCATAACTCAAAAGGGCGTAAAAAAATTGGTGAAAGTGGTAAATCAATTAAGTATTATGTAATAGGTTTAGACAAGTTGGTCACTATGACATCAATGTTGTCTAAAAAGATTAGGACAATTAAGTGAAATAACACTGGAAATCAATCAAAGTGGAGGCGATTATAATAACAATAATAGTGATAAGAGAATGATACAAAAGTTAAATTAATAAAGGGGGAGGGGAAACTAATGGGATTGGGAAAATGTTATGGCCATAATAAAAACAGTGACTTTGCACATAACTTCTTTTGTACACACAGATCAGGTTTTAGTTCATGAATAGCTAAAACCTCCGCTGTTTTAAGAAGTTGAAAACGAGGAAGACGTGGGAGGTTTGGGGGAATTTTTATAGATAGTTTTAAAGTCATTATCTGGGTTTGTTGAGTGATGGAAATCAATCAAATTTTCTAGAATCGAACTTCTAACAGATTTTCTTTCACCTTCATAAAACCAAAGAGGAACATGTTCTCGTATACGTGTAGAAAGCATTCTCTGGCTACGGCCGATGCACCTTGTTCCACAAGAGCAGATGAACTGGTAGATGCACATAGAGGCGGCTAAACGAGAAAGGTTATCTTTAACAAAAACGGAGAATAGGTTACGGCTAGTAAAAGTCAACTGAAGTCTTGCTGCAAAGAAACTCCTATTGACTGATCTGCATAGACGATTCTCTAGTACATCTGAGGCTAGGTCACCTTTAAATTCTAGACTTATGAGCAATCTTTTCTTTGAAACCAAGTGAATGACCGGTTTAGTATTTCTTTCTAGCATATTTTATCAATAACACGACTAGGCTAACTGTTTTCGACAAGTTTTCTTTTTTAAAAAAGATGGCTCTTCATCAATACAATCATCACCACAGATATTTCTTATTCGATAGCAAAGAGAGTGAATAAGATTTTTTTCCTATTGATGCGCACCCAACTATAAAAATTAGTTAGTTGTCCGTTCCAAGTTGGTTTTCTGTAGATGGATCTTTTGAGGTATCCATTCTGATGTCGGGTGAGAGGCACATCAAGAAAAGGAATAGTTGATTCTGATTCCTTCTCTGTGGTAAACTTGAGGGCTTGATGACATTCATTGAATGAACGAAGAACACCGTCTAGATAAACAGATAACAAACGTGTCGTCTATATATCTTCTATAAAAGTCAAAGCTATTAATAGTTTGACAAAGTTGTGAATTCTGTAGTTTCGACATGAAAAAATCTGCTAACAATGGTCCCAATAGTGACTCCATTGCAGTTCCATCTTTCTGTCTACAGATTTCACTATTGGAAGTAAACTGGGCGTACGCTTATGCTAAGTTACAATGGAAAAAGGGTAAACATTTTAAAACAGTTCCTCTTGTGCACCTAATCTTTCTGTGGTGTTAAACTGCTCATTGATAGATTCGAATATTCTGTCATAAAATTTTTTGTCCAACAATCATCTAATGAACTATATAGAATTAATTTGAATGCTTGGTTTCTTATTGGGGGGTGGAGAGAGCAAGAAAAATTGTTCATTATGTAAATAATTTGATATCCAAGTCAATTAGAAACAAATTTGTTTTGTTTTATATTCATTGGGAAATACAAATACTAAAATAATCAAGCCATTTATTGTTATAAGCACACTTTTCTACGAAGTCAAAGTCGGACGTCGTTTAGTTGTATTATTTATTGTATACAGACCATAAATAACGTTAAAAATATACTAAAATCAGTTTATTGATATTGGCTATGAAATTTTAACCAATCAAAAAAGAGATTATCATATACATGATGTGACTTATCGACCAATAGAATTTGATACAAGATAAACAGTACAAATAAATGCTGAAGAATGTTGTTGCATTTATTACATCATCTTTTTATATATTTATGATGATGACTGTGGTAAGTGTTATGCATTTTGAGAAGCCGGTGTACTTTTGACCTCAATGTACAGAAAGACAGAAAATGAAGTTCTAGGTGAAAAAAACACATACTACTTCGTTTTATTTTTGCATTCCGTAAGATAACTTCACCATACGGCAATAAATAATTATGAATCTGAAATAGTTTGGCATATTTTGTTTTGCTGACATGTGGTCGTTGTCTATAATATGTAAGAAACCAATAATCTATAGGTCATAAGCACAAGAGCATGCATACACACAGAATTCCACCATCGCCGTATGATACGTAAATATTTATTCATTTGAAAAACAAATCTGTACTCCATTAACATAAGAGTAGGGTACTAGGCAAGACAGGGAGGTCGACAGTTGTGAAACTTAGTCGACTGAGATGACTTGCACATGTACTGCGCATACCCAACCACCGCCTATCTCGATATGGCATGCTAGGGAAGTCTGGATAACGTTGGAAGGGGTTCATTGTGACCAGATCAAGACTTCGTGCCAGCTACTGAAGTCTCTGACTGTTAGTTTAGGTCGTGTGGGGAAATGTAGACTGCCTGGCTGGGTGTCCTGGAGACAAAAGGAATCAGTCCTTGAGGACTTTTTGTGACATGGCTGAAAACCAGTCATAATGGCGCAAATGCATTCACTCATTGACATCTTTTACTGCTTGAATATTTGCAGTAACCGTTGTTATCAAATTGCTTATTCTGTCAGACGACTTTATCTACTTTGATATCACTTCTTTTCTGTCCACTTGTTCTTTGTGTACTACTGTGAAGTGTGGCTACCGCTGCACGTATGTGTGAGGTTCTATGCTGATTTTGTCCGTCGGTTAGTCAGCCAAATCCTACTGAGGCAGTGACTTTTTCTGCTTTTAAAGATGAGCATGAACTTTAACCGGAAAAATCTGCATATATATATATATATATATCGTAGATTAAATTGCCGGGTAGAAAACACTTCCGTGCTATATGCATTACCTTACTTTGTTTTCATTTGTTATAGGATATAACTACTGAAGCGGCACTTGTAAAATTAGCCTATATACTGAGTAAAACGGGAATTGAAGATTATTCTGCTAAGCGTACAATGTTGTTGAGTAGTCTAAGGGGTGAAGTGACTGTTGAAGGTGAAGACTCTCGAGCAGCTAACTTATCAATCTACCATTTGAATGGCTTAAATCAAGACAGAAATCTCATGTTATATTTTGCAGGATTATTTACATCTGCTTCATCAGTTGATTCTGAGGGTATAGGTTCAATGTGGGTTCAACGAATTGTTCCAGTGCTGGCCTGTTGTGCAGCTGCATCAAATAATGTACCTTGTTTAAAAGAAATGCATCATATAATTGGACACTTACAGGTAAGTTTTGAAATATATAAATATTATTATTAAAAAGAAACAAAAAAGAGCAATTCAAATTCTTATTGTATTTTTTACTCATAGGTGATTCAACTGCCGATCGGCTTAAACACTTGAAGTTCAAACGTTGGATCATGGGTTATAATTCAGCTTAGACGACTGATTGGTACCATAAGTACTTCAACAATACATTTAGCTCATAGCTGATTGAATAAATCTGTACTAAGTCGAGTGATATTTAAAATGTTTCAAGTAAACATAATATGAATAAACTTTAGGCTAAGGATAAACGTATATGTGCTATGCAGGAAAAGAAACATATGGGGAAATCATTTTTTTTAAAACTGTTGGTGGGTGAGCAGAAATAAATCTAGGGTGGTTTTTTTCCCATATTTACGTTCATATGAATGGTGAATATACCTATTTAATAGGAATTATTTTCAGTCTTCAACTAACATCGAAGAATGTCAGGTATCAAGCTTACAATTCTTAGACTGACGGTCAATGAACTGAAAGACTGGTATTTGTTCTACTGGTATGATTGTTCTAAGACCAATACTATCTACCTAATACTAATTCCACCAACATTTATCTCATCTTGAAGTAATTTTAATTAACTACCTAGTTAGTAGGAATTCGTACTTACAAGAAAGTAAACAAAGGTAAGAATGTCATTACTAAAGAAAAAGTAGAAAGAGTGATAGTTTAGTATTAATGATAGATAGATAGTGGGTAGCAGTGAAATCCAGGACACACATTTCGTCCTATTTGAGATATTTCAACTGGATGTGCCTGCACCCCAGTGAGTAATGTTACTCATGACAACTCAGAAGCAACCGCTTCAAACACCAAAGTTTTATCTACTAGGTCACTGATTCACGATAAGCATTCCTTTTGTGATGGGTATAATATAATTCCAATGTTAAGACTTCTGAATCTCAGTTGGACCGAATTGGTCGACCACTATTGACTTATGGGTTCCTGTGCTGATGCCTCGATATCGCGGGTACTTTTAATTCTTGATATTAATAATGGATAGTGGCTATCAGTGGAATCTAGAGTGTGCATCTTACCGCGCTTGGGACGGTGGTGTAATGGATAACGTTGTGGTGTTTGAGGTGGTTGGTTCTAGGTTTTAAGTATTGCTGGGAACAACATCGCCCATTGGGAGGCAGGTACATCCAGTTGGCGAGTCCCAATTAGGACAAGAAGGGCGTCCTGGATTCCCCTGCTAGCCACTATGCGTCATTAATATCGGTAATTGAAAATACCGAAAATATTGAGGCGTCCGCATGGGAGCTCATATGCCAGTAGTGGCCGATGAGTTCGGTTCAGTCGATGACAAAGATTCACATACCATAACATTAGGTGATAGTTATCAAAAAAATAAGTGAGGATGTAAACTTGTGAGATACTCTTTGAATAGTATAAATAATGAATATACTATTGGTAAATTGATCGAATATCATGGAAAGAGTAAGCTCACAATAGACTAAAGAGAAGTAATATGAACCCCTTTTTTCTTCATCGGTTTTTATCGGCTATATACAACGCCATATTATAGTGGAATTCTAACAGATTTCAATTCCTGAAGTAAGAAAGAGTATGGTAATTTGAATGTGAAGTAAATAAACTTTGCAAATTAGAATATAGTTGGTAGATTATGTTATGATATGTATCTTGTTAGAAAGAAATGTTTCGTCCGTAATGAAGCCCCTTAGAACCATAGTCTCTTTCTGATTGTCTCCATCCAGTTAGTATGGTTTGTTCATTTCATCTTTGCAAATTTAATATAACTCCGAGTAACATTTTGTTGATCTAGCTGATCTAATCGATTGTAGACCGATTGTCATGATAGTAGTACTTGTATGGAGTTGCTCACTATAGATTTCGAAATTTTCATCTCTTATTAGTCGTTTCCATGAAACTGTTTGTTTCTGACCAGTTATGAGGCGTACAGATGGAATTAGTAGATAATAATAGAATATTAAATTTCATTTATTATGTTTTCAAATAGGTAGCTACATAAATGCAGTGAGAATAGAGTATACTATGACCGTCGTCGCCATTATTTTAAGTAGCTGTTCATAGCTTTAGAATACGATGTAATAGGTGCGTTTGTTAGTAAATTAACCTGATATAACTTAATGAAACGCAAGAATATGAACTTCTTTATTATTCTAAAGGGTTGTTAGCATTAGGTAAAGCGGTCAAGATTAAATTATACAGAAATTTACAGAAATAATAATTGAAAGTATGCCTGTTTCAAAAAATTCCCTTGTTGATAATTAGCATTAATAAGTTGCGTGTACCAGTGGATGCCGGATATCTAGAACACCATTGTGCAAGATGGTCATTAAGTTCTATTCTATGTCTCTGACTATTTTGGATCACAACTACTCAAGGCTTCACGGTCTCGCAACTTTATCTAACCAAATAGGTAAATAATCCCCAGGCATATTTATACTACTTACAAATTATGAGTAGTTTGAGAGTCTAGATGTAAAGTATGGAGGCCACGCTAGTCTGTCGGCTCGAATCATTATAGTAATCTCAAGATATTTTATTAGTTGTTATCAATGTTCTTTGAATACATGAAGCTACCACTCGTTTCATGCATAGAGTTCTTTTCATGAGTTTAAACATGGCAACATTAACAACTTTTGAAAAACCCAGTGATATTTCGTCACCTTGTCAGTTGCGTACAGGCTAACAGTTACAGTTTATATGTATGTAAGAATATGTGCTATGTAACTTATTGACTAAGAAGTAGAAGTTTATTGATGAAAAAACGATAAAGACTAAAACTGTAAGAGTTCAAAAGTTCTAATGATCATCGTAAAAACCTTAGAATGTCACTAGGAATATCATTGTCTGCTGTGAAGCTTGTTACTGCTTCACTGGAAGACAAACTATGAGGAACTCAGATAATCCAACAACCAGATGAGATTATTTTGTTATGATGCTTTTAGTGGATACAATACAAAAAGCAACTAGGTAATTTCGTAACTGTTACTTGTGGAGTAAGTATTTTACTGAGATTTCTTATTTAATTACACACTAGATTGCATAATCGTACTGAATGCTTAAGCCCACAGATTTTTTCTACTGACTCACTGTGATCAATTAGTGACTATCTGACTACTCAACTTAATGGAATCAAAAGACTAAACTTCATATACACTTTCTATCCTAAGACATGCATATTCAAACACCAGAACCAACAACATTAATGAAACCCGACAATTATTTACTCGTATTGGTATTAGATGATGGAAGTCAGTTGATAGTAAAACCTGGACCTAAGTTACATGCTTGTTGACACTCACCGTCAAGGTGTACCCGATCGATAAGCCATTCAGGTCACGACTGAACACCCCTACAGATATGGATTGTATGCATGAGGTGGTCGTATCTATCTAAAGGAAAGTCAACCTATCATTTAACCATACCATATCATAAAATGTATCAACCGTTGACTTTTAAGATCCAGTTTTAAAAACTATAACCAGTTGTATTGAAAAAGGCACTCGAGAACATGCAAGTCTATAAAGCTAGTTTAGAAGCTTGTGTTTCACAACATCATGCGTTTAGGCAAACGCGTAACTCCTCTCCAACAGTTGTTAGTAAGTGTCAACTGAGGTAATCATTCAGTTGTTCACAATATGAATGGTATAAAAGAACCAATAAATTTAGCTGAGCATCACGTGAGTGCTAACTATTTATCATGGTATATCAAAAAACAATTTAGGCTTCAAATTCGTTTCATAACTTTTCCTTCTTCTTTTTCTTTTTAGTTATTTGATACTGAAGGATCTACACCACTTCATAAATCAGCATTCTATGGTCATATTTCAGCAACAAAATATTTGTTGGAATGTGGAGTATCAGTTCATATAGCTGATAAACGGGGATACACTCCACTGGATTGTGCTTTAGACAGTTTAGCCTTATCTGATGAAGTGGTTAGGTTATTATTAGATGCTGGTTCTGTATTGAATTGTGAAAGTCAACTTGTTATCAGACTAGTTCATCAAGCTGTTGCACGTGATGATATTCGAAGATTACGCTTATATTTTTTGTGTGGATATTCATTCGATGTAAGTCAAAGTTTTCCTTTCAAATGAATAAATGCCATTTCATTCATTATATTATAGTCAAAATAACTTTACATCAAATTATATACTTGGTCATGACATGGGACAGTAGTATTCCGTATTCTTATTCAAGCTTAGCATCTATCTAGCCCACTTACATAAATCAATAAAATGACCTTGAAAATATGATCCCTTTAATCTATTCTGAGTACATTGCCAATAACACTATGAAGTTAGAAGAAGTAAATATCATTGAATTTGAGTCTGATTGCATGTACAATCAATTTATGCTTGAAGAATCAAGAGAAAGAGAGCCAAACATATCTTAAGTATTGTCATCAAACTCCACTACAAACTATCAACAAAACTCAATTTAAAATGAGATGACAAGGTATTCATCCAGGATGTTTATGTACGGCAAAAACACCTGTTTATTTGTGTTCACTGAATAAACAGTGTGGACTCAAATAGAATACAATGCAAACCAGTATTCATAGTATGTTATAACAAGGTATTGTTACAGCATTCATAATTATGCATCATTGTTTCAAACTACACACTTAAGTTCTAATCAGGGTAAAAGCAATATTTTATAATGAAATAGTTTTTTTCCATAAGGAGGATGCTGTAACTAGAAAGAAGAATCTTCTAGACTATTTTATTATATCTATGTTTTCTGCTACAATTGTTACATATTCCTTGATGATCGAAATATGCTGCTGAACAAAATGAGAAATGAATTATTCAGGTCTACGCATTTTGTTGAATGGATCAAAATCATCTGAACACTGTATGGTTGTTTCACTAGTTTAAGATTAACCTTGTGAGGGATGTGTCTGAAGCAGTTGACTGTCACAGGATCAGAATTTTTGTGATCAATATAGAGCCTGATATTACTGGGTGACGATCCAAGTAATGAGATTTCCAAATTAAGAGGTAGAAAAGAAAGCGGTAAAAAGTGACGAAAAGAAAACAAGGAGGAACAAAACAATAATGAGGTGATGTGTCGATGCATCTGCTGTTCTGAGATTTACTTTAAGACATATTACCTAGAGTCTCCAATCACCGAATTCAATTGTCACGTGGACCCCAGCCAAACGGTCTACACTTCTCTACACAGTTCAAACCAACAGTCAAAGACTTTATGAACTAATACCATGTTTTAATCTGGTCACTTTTAACCCTTTCCCAACTTAAACCTACGTCAACTCACACTGTGCGACGAGGTAGACGATGAATAGACACGTGTAGCGTTATGTCCAAGGCAACTTAGTTGGTGAAGGTTCATAACCTTATTAAGTGGCATTCCTCTTCTTTCCAAAACTCTTCTCCTGGCTTCTCTGTTACACATGTTGTGACACTAGGATACAGGATCTTTGCTACGAAGGTAACGGTGGCCAAACACTTGAAGTCATTCCAGTAGCCATGTTTCATAGTCATATAATAAAACAGCACACCATAACATGGATGATCAGTTTACAAATTGCTAACAAACCTCAAGCTTGCACTGACATTTCTCACGAATGAGTGGTTTTATAACTACCCAAATAGCATCTCATTAGTGTTTTCTTTGTAAGCGACTCAACCAATTAGTTAAGTTGTCATCTCTGACACAAAAATATCCTGACCTATACTACTGAACAGAATGAGTAGTGAGAGATTGCTAGTGGCGATCTGAGGAATTCCTGTTGACACCATAGTTGAACAGCTGAAAAACTGATCAACTATGGGTAATAACAACATGAACCGTTTACTTTGTAAATAACGTGCAAATCGATCATTCATCTACTCGTGATAAAAACAACACTATTCTATGCTACTTAATTAGCACATAGTAGCTATATGCTTATCTTAAATCAAACTAATCAAGCAAGTTATCTCCTGCTTCCATCTTTCCTAATTACATCATGCACTACCTTTTAAAAGAAAGCATTTGTTGTTTACACTAAGGTTTCATGTCCACTAGACTTAAAGTATAAAAAAGGATTGTAAGTTTGCTACGAAGTCCAACTGTTGATCAAAATTTTATTTCACTTCAGTTACCATGGGTTTAGTCCGACTACTGTGTGAATTTGTGACACGTTACTACCGCTTGATCGTATTCACACTGGCTACCCAGCCAGGACTTCTCACCTTAATCCAAATCTGATTGAATTAGAAAGAAGGGGAGCATCATACTGATTACCATTTTGCCTATCTAAGTGAGGTAGTCTTAGTTTGGCAAACTAGTCTTGATATTAGGTGATGATTGGCGGTGAAGTGAGAATTTGAACCACGGCCGGATTCAAACTAGCGACCAAAGGATTTCCAGCCGGATGCTCTACCAACTGAACTACAAGGTCTGACTACTGACCAGATTTTTATTTCACCTCAATCACTATGGATTTTGTAAGTATTTGTGGCACATATTGCTTGGTTAAACTGGAGCATATTGCGAAATCGAAAGGATTAAATTGGATTATTTGTCAATACGTGTATTTTATCTTTGATTACTGTGCTGAATCGAGTTCATCCCGCTCTACTGGCATATGGTATCTGATGCGATCTCTTTGATACTAACTGAAGATTATTAATTATGATGTGATTTGATTGATGGCGGTTAGCGGTAGGATCTAGGACCTATTTGGGACTCATTACCTGCATGTATCTGCATCTCAGTAACTTAAGGTGTTCCTACTGAGACTCGAAGCAAATAATCATCTTTAAAAATGCCAACTGTTACATATCATAGATTAAATGGGATGTTTCGGAAACAATAATTCCTTCCAAATCAATTCGTACTGTTATTTGATCCAGTCCATTTGAAATTCAAATGAATATTTGACCTATTATTGCTGTCTCAACTTCAATAGTACTGTTCAGTGTTGACTGAATGCGTAAAATTTTGGATAGCATCTGGAAGATAGGGAAGGTAACACTAATCGTAGAAATGTGCATGTAAACTGGCAATTTTGTCAACCTTAAACTATTTCAATTTGGGGTTTTTCGGGATTTGTTGATTTCATGTTCGTATTCACTATGGGTTGACACCAGTTGGAGGAACATTGAAAATCTGGGGGCACTGGACAGCTTTTTCATCTTAGTACGAAACTCCTCAGCAGTGCACATTCATGACCCCACCAGGGATCGAATCTAGAACTTTCAGGTTCCATGGCCAAACGTAAACTATTTTCCTAGGGTCATGTTTTTGCCTGTAAAATCATAGAGAAAGGAAAGATAAATTAATGACTCCCTTTTTGTAGTGTATGTCTTATTAGTAAACGATTGACTGAATAAATTTATAAAGTTATATTCACTGTGGAAGGGATTAGATGTAAGCATAGATTCATTTTGAGTGAGTAATTTGACTCTATGAACAGAATGATTCTCCTTTCTCAGCATAGTATTAAGTCGTTATTACACTTTTGAGTGTATATGTCTAGAATTGGTTGATTACTTCACTCCTAGTTTGAATGTTAACCAATTACACCTATTGAAGTGATTCTTTGTCGTATTCATTTTCTTAAGGAAACGCAGTTTTTAACCAGTCAGTAATTTCATCTAAAGGCGGTAATTATCTTCCATGTAAGGAATATAATAAATATCCAGATGATAAATTTCACTATTGATTCCAATATGGAGGCATTCTTTATTGTTTGTGTATTATGTGATAGTACTGTTGACAGAACAACAACCTTTAATTCTGTTGTAATGACCTTATTGATGTATAAATCAGTATGGTATTATTTCTTGTTGTTATCATTGTTATTGAATTTTATAGAATATTGATGATGAAGGTCGTACAGCTTTACATGTAGCTGTTGCACATCGTCAGTTGGAAACGATTAAATTCCTTATCTCATCACCGATTAAACAACAACAAGCAGATGATAACAAAGAGACTTCAGTATTGGTGCTGGTGTCAATCCAAATTGTCAAACTGTCTGGGGTACAACTCCATTAGATGAAGCTAAACAACGACATTTCAATGATGTAGTTGAATTATTAAAACGATATACATAATCAATAAGTAGTATCTCAACTTACTCTCTTGTCTTTTCTATTCACTTATTCTCTTCTAAAATGAAACAAAGTGGAAGGATAAAAATAAAGATTTTATTGTATAAATCTTGATGGATTCTATCATTATTTCATAAAATGATGAACTGTATAAAGATAATAATAATAGGATGGATATTTCAGTTTATTGTACAGTCTGTATATCTCAATTTATCTGTTAGTTCACTTTCACTCCTTTTGCCCATTGAAAGTTTATTTTATTGTTGTTTCAATTAAAAAAAAATTGAATGAAAGTGTATTTTTTTTCCAATTAAAGAAAAACAATTCACCTGTTGTTTACTAAATCAACTTTATCCTCGAAGTTCAAATCTGTGCATTGAATTCTCTTTTACCATTATTATTATTATTATTATTAATATAATCCTATTCTTTGTTTCACTAGCCAGATATATCAAATGTATTTTACGTATTTATTTGCCTCATTTTTAGTTACTTCTTCTCTCTTCACCTCTAAAGGAAAGAGAAGTGTTATTTAAATAAAATTAATAATTAATGGAACAATATTAGCTATTTTGTTTTCTTTAAACTTCATTTTCAGTTATCGTTATCATTACTATTATTATTATTATTGTTATATAACCTGTAGTTATGAAAGTGTGGATGGAATCTGAAAAATTCTGAAGCTTTGTCTATCTCAATTTACAGGTTTACAAGGATTTTTCTTTATTGATTTCAGGTTGATATTTATCATGAACTGACAACAGTAACAGAAACATTGGAGACCTGGGAGCACTGGACAGCTTTTTTGTCCTAGTATGCGATTCCTCATCAGTGCACACCTATGACCGCACCAGGGCTCGAACCCAAGGCCTTCAGGTTTCCCGACCAGAACGTTACTACTGAGCCACTGGTTTGGCATCCAGTGGTCCACATTTCCTATTTCTGTCAGTACAGGATACGGTGTGAAATCTATCCACTGCTGTCGTTGAGTAACTGTCCTCAACAAATAAATCCTCACAAACTGCCAAAGTGAATTACTCTAGTGCTAATTCGTGACTAGCTCCGAGATGAAATTCCTGAAGTTCTAGTGAAAAGTCGTGACCAGTGAGGACAATTACCCAACGAAGACATTGGACAGTGATTGCGCTATATCGTAAACTGACAGAAGTAGGAAATGCGGATCATTGGGTGCCAACCCAATGACTTAATGGTAACGTGATAGCTGTGGAACCTAAAAGTTCTGGGTTCGATCCCTGGTGGGGCTATAGATGCACGCTGCTGAGTTGCGTACTAGAACGAGACAACTGGTGAATGTAAACCTGAAACCTTTATCTATCCGTTTACTAGTCTTCAAAGACACTGTTTACCATTAGGAGGAATACTAATTGAGAAGGTTGAATTTCGTAAGGAAGCATGGAATTAAGTTTTTTATCTACTTCTAGTCACTTAAAGGATCATTGAGTAATCAAATTGATTTTCAATTGTTTACATTGTGGCTTCGATTATTGATGTCTATTATTCTGGTTAGCTTGGTAAGTAAACTAATAATTTATTAAATGATTTACTCATTATAATAATCAATTGCTTTATTATGGGTAGATATCATGTCATGTTTAATTCCATCACACACCAAATGCAGATAATATTCCATATTGAAGTGAATGATAACTCAGCAAATGCAGTAGATGCTTCAATCATCTCCGTCAATGTTGGATGAAAACCTCATCGATACAAGTAGACTGTAATTCATTCCATCTAGGATTTGTTTATTTGATATACGGCACACAGTGATGCATTATTACCTACTTGATGACATTTTGATCATAAATTATTGCTGATTATCATAACAATGTAATCACACCACTTTCAAAAATCAATTTTTACAGTCTTGATTGGTCACTGGAAAGCAATCAATTTCGATATGATTCGGTCTACACTCAGAAGTCGACAACATGAAATTAGTTTCTCGCCCATGACCAATCAATACATGTAACCCAGTCCTACAGGAGATCAATTACGGCCCGAAAATATCAGTGGTAAAGTCGTTGACTACAACACTGGGTGACTCAGGTTCGAATCTCAGGTAGGACATCAGTTCCATCGAGGTTGCAGAGACGCCTTGCTGACGAGTGCCAGCGAGCACGAAACCTAGATCCACAGCTTCCTACTGATTGCCTCCAACCAACTAACATATACTTTTACATTAGTTTGGATTATCCGCGCAGTCATCGGAGCTAGAAAAAAATCATGGTATTTGCGAAAAGAGATGCAGAAAATTAGGAAGGCAGTCGAGAGGAGGATTGATAACACTTGGAATATACTCAGTGCTTCAGATAGATGACACTCACTGGATAGTCACGTCAGTTCTATTTATTCCTTCTTTGTGAGTCGCTACGTCGAAATACAACTCGATCAATATGCAGGAAATTTCTAATTTATCATTTAGAACACGCTTTTTAAGTCTATACTCAATAAATAATTTCAGTTAAATATTCTTCACGATCACTTATAACTTTTGGATATCAACATGTTGAATATAAGAAACAAGTTATTTAACTAATGCGATCAAGACGGTTGGATAACTGAAATCAGCTTAGTGTAAATAGTTGATTTCAAGTTTACATAAGATACCTTTCTAATCTCACAAGAAATCAAGATGTATTACTAAAAACTGAACATTTTCTGTAACACAAATTATGAAATAGAAAGACTAATTGGTAAGTAAATTAGGTATATGAGTTCATTGACAAGAATAGAACGTAATGCAGAAAAAAAGTAAATCTTAAGTATCATTTCTCAAAAGACTCAAATGCTATTCTCTTTTAAATGTTTTTAAACAGTTTCCAGAATATAGTAATGACAGGCAGTGGGTAGCAGTGGAATCCAGGATGCCTATTTCGTCCTATTTGGGACTCGTCAGCTGGATGTACCTGCCTCCCAGTGAGTGATGTTGTTCCCACCGAGACTCGGACTCGGGAGCGATCGCCTCAAACGTAAGAGCGACATCCACTACACCACCGAGCCATGATAACCACTTCTTGTGCGACCGGTATAGTTTTAGTGTTATTGCTTGTATGATACTGTCGTTGATTGGACAGAATTGATCAGTCTCTGTTGGCATGTGGGTTCCTGTGCGGATGCCTCGATATTGCCTGTATTTTAATTATGTAAAGTAATGATACATAGTAAAAAGGACAGAACATTCTAAAGGATTCGGTGTATGTATAACAGTCTGATTGTTTCTATGATGTCTGGTACATCGGCCGTACTATGCATCAGCTTATGCAACGCTCTCATGAACACTACTCAGCTTGACTGATAAGAGGAGAACGGCGATACATCTTCAGCTGTGTAACAGAACACAGTAAACTCAAGACATTTGCCTGCCTTTGATAAATGCTTCAAAGTGTGACCAAACCGCTCAAACTGAGTAGGGTTAAGGTATCTTAGTATAGATGATGCATTACCGATTCAAAAGTTCAAGCCATCATTATACCTTATATAAACTATGATCAAGATTTGATCGTATAGTATGGCAAATATTGGGCGTTGAGTAAAAGGTTGACATTAGATATAGATTGTATTTGTGTAAGTCACAGCGGGTTTGAAACCAAATAATTCCAACCTTTCGCATGGAAGTCTGGTTCGAGCTTCTTCAGGGAAATAATCAAAATTAAAATATCAAGGATATATATAAATGAATTCAAAAAACATGTATTCAGTCTTGTCATTTCATTGTCTTTCTAAATTATGATAACTAATCATTCAGTGTGAAATTGTATGTTTTTTGTTGTATGGCTTATGTATGTTGTATGTACTTCAATTCATATTCGTCTTGATCGTAAATATCAGACAAAAAGGGCATTGGTGACAGTCATTCAGTAATTTTATAAGTATAGATTGAAAAGGATGAGGTGGATATGTATACAATTTCAGTAGGAATAAAATGGTGAATAGTGTTAGCGAATTCTCTCTACATTGATTTACCGATATAGAGTGTAAATAAGTGGTAGTTATGATGGTGGTGATGATACCATCGTGAATTATCGATCACTCTGAATAACCCAAATATGATGTAACTATTTTCATCGCGTAATCATTTCATCTATTTCGCCATTACATAACTTTCCTTTTCGATGCAATTTATATTGACCTTTGGTTAGAAATTACGCTGCAATATTCTCTCTTTCGTATTATATATTCATGAATGTTTACAGTCAAGACAATGAATTAGTCGAAAAGAAAATGTTTTCTCCTCAGCAATCATCTTCTATAGTTTCCTATGTTCTAATGAGATTGTTTCAATATTGAAGATAATGATTACCTGAAATATATGATGTATTATCGTCATTGATTATCAACACCTTAGTCATACATAAAGTTATCAAAATCAACTAGAAAAAGGTCAATTAATTCAGTAGAAAGGGTAGAACAACAGCTTCAACACTGAATCACATCACATTTAATATGCAGATTGAAATTAATACTATCCAAATAGTTTCAACAGCAATTTTACTCACCTTGAACATAACTCGGCAGTATCGATTTCTTTTTTTTATATCAAGGATGAAACTCTTTTTCATTGTCCAATCTATCCTTCTATATCTGACTAACTTAGTAGATCATTTTTGAAATCTCATCTAAATATTTTGACAGGTGTTCATGTATGATCAGGTTTCACAAAGTGTATAACGCTAATGCATCACAAGTTCATTACGTAATTACTCCATTGAAAAGTGAAAGTGTGTAGAGTCACATAATTCTCCAAAATCAATAGCCTAGGGTTCGACGAGATTCAGCATTAATGCTGACCTTCATAGTTTTATCCGACTCGCTAATCTGAAGACATACGGTCAAGCATGCACGCTAGTTGGCGCGCTGTCGTGTTACGTTTCACTGCTCATAATCGACCCTTTAGCCAGTTAGTTGGAACGCATCGGTATTTTTGCACGACCTCGCAAATATACTATTCCATCTGACTACACTATTGTGTTCTTCCTTGGTCTCGTATTCATAGATGTATTACAAGTACGAATAATTATTGATTGGCCTCTGAGTCTGTAGAGTTCGCTCAAGGACAATTCCTAAGTTGGTGAGCCCGATGTGATATTAATTGGGATAAAGCAAATTTACCTTATGTACAGAATTACGTACAAATAATAGTTATAATTTCTTAGTATCCTCAGACTAGTCAATGAAACATATCTTGGTTTACATTTTGTAGGTAACGAAGATTTGATAACTTCAGTTCGTCAGAAAGTACAAACCTATCTTTGGAGGATGATATGTAATGTGGTAGAAAACCTAACTATCCCAGGTTTTCTCTGTCTGATAGTTCTAACCAGAGTAGAAAATTAAGATGACGTAACATTATCATCTTCTATCCTATATTATTATAATCAGCCATTTATTTAC